TCACAGCCCCTCGTTTGTTGTCCTCTTCTCCCTCTCTGCCTACGGTTTACCGGGCAGTTCTATTTGACGATATATATATATATATATATATATTCGCGCACAGGGCTCTCTCTCTCTCTTGGGGCCTATATATATATATATATATATATAAGTCGGTGAAACTCCGACGAAACAGTTTGTCACAGCCCCTCGTTTGTTGTCCTCTTCTTTCTCTCTGCCTACGGTTTTACCGGGCAGTTCTGTTTGTGACGATATATATATATATATTTTATCGCGCACAGGGCGCAACTCCCTCAGCGCGCGCACCGCGCACAGCGTACAGCAGTGCGTACTGCGCACAGCGCACGGCGCACAGTGCGCGCCGCTGTCGTTCCAGCGCACAGTGCGCGCGCACTGCCCCGCCCCGCACTGCGCACTGGTGCGCTGCAACTATGGTTCGGAGTCTTCGGACTCATAAATGTAACCCAGAATTATCCATTGACGATTTGCCTGGCAAAGGAGGCAGGTTTGTCTGGACTCTGCACTGGCAGTTTATCACAGAAGCTGATTGATCAGAAAGACTGATAAGTTTTGTTGGTGGGTGGTTGGTTGCAGAATGTGGATGAAGTTAACTACCTCCATGTGCGGTCTTCTGGGTTGCTGTTTGTGGCAACGACGAAAGTGAATGTTTCCCCGGCCTGGGTGCTCGAGCTTTTGCAACGGATTGCTCGGATCATAAAAGACTATTGTGGTGTTTTGAGTGAAGATTCCCTTCGCAAGAACTTCATCCTCGTCTACGAGCTGCTTGATGAAATCATTGTATGAAGAAATTGCCAAACCATTCCTTATGCAGCTGGCACTGTTTTCCTTTTTTTGCATCCCTGTTTTGTCACATTCCTTATGCAGATTGGCACTGTTTTCTTTTTGCATCCGTGTTTTGTCTCTTGGGCAGATAGTCCTTCATGTCACCACTATCTCCCAAACGTTTGGCTGGCAAACATGCGCACATATGTGTGTGTGTGTGTGTTGTGCGTGTGTGTGTGTGTGTGTTTTGTTGTGATTGTGCTGACGGCATACACGTTTGCAGAACTCTTGTAATTCTTGTCAGGTATATCCTCTGGAGAGCTGATGTGAGCTTGATCTCAGAGTCAAGAGCTGACGTCAGGGATTGTGCATGGCTGTCTGTTTGAAGGGGAGGTAAACTTGTGAAGTGTCCAGGTCTGGCTGGCTGATGAGACCGTAACCGTCCAGTGAACTAAGTCAAACCTGCATCCATATGATGGTCTCAATGGAAGGAGTTCTGCCTGCCTGTGATGCACACACACATGAGTCAGTGAAAGTCCAATGAAACAGTGTTGCACAGCCATGCTTTTCCTGTGGACTTGTGTACGGTGAACATGACAACACACACACACACACACAGACACACTCACAACGTGTCTCTCTCTCTCTCTCTATCACAGCGTGTCCATATCTGTCTCTGTGTGAAGTTGCATACAGCGAACATGACAGCAAATACACACGCACACACACACTAACACTCCAGGGGCCAGACAGCAAAGTGAAGGGAGGAGGTCTAGCCATGCAATGATGGAGATGATGGTGACATGAGTGACTCGTTTGAGATGAGTGCCAGTGCTTTGCCTGATGCCCCTTGACCCCTTTATAGAGTATAATGTATTTGTGCAAGTGTGCCGCTCCGGCCGCAGATGGGTGTGTGGGCACTTGCCGCTTAACCACACAAACGTGGGCAACCTTCCATCTTCTAATATATTGCCTATCTATATCTTTTTTGTTTTATGGATGGTTTGTGATAATTTGTCATTGAAATGTGTGTGTGTGTGTGTGTGTGTGTGTGTGTGTGTGTGTGAGAGAGAGAGAGAGAGAGAGAGAGAGAGAGAGAGAGAGAGAGAGAGAGAGAGAGAGAGAGAGAGGAATGCACACATTGTGAGTGTCCATGTGTACGTGATTGTGAATGAATTGTCTATTTGTGTAATATGACAGATTGGCTATGCTAATCTTCTTCCAAATGTCGTAGATTTAGGCATGAAAAATGATTGATGCTCATCCTGATATTGAGCTGACTGCAACATCTTCATGATCTTTGTGGATACTTGTGGCCTGCGTTGGCTTCCCCCCCCCCCCCCTCCTCCCCCCGCCTTTGCTCACCCTCCAGTGAGGCCATGGAGGGTGCAGTGCGTTTTCTCAAACGTCATCTACGGACTCTAGCAAGGATGCTCCTGTTTGGGAATGGTGTGCATGTGCCTCCCTCTTCCCCTCTTTCTGCATTTGAATTGCAATGTTTGACCACCCCCAGCTAAGACTGAGCTGTGTTATGAACTTGGTTGTCTGACGATTTTTACCGCCACTCACACACAGACAGTCTCATACATGCCCATACATGCATAAGAGAAGGGGGAGAGGAGACAGAGTCCAACTGTACACAGATCAGAGTATGTAGCGGAAGTTCAGCCATGCACAGATGGGGAGAGGACACTGCGTGTTTCTCACTCTCTGACAAATTCCCAACAACCAATCACAAGAAGAAACCTGTGAGGATAACAATTGGAATTCACACTGATGAAGAGCCACTTGAACCCAGATATCGTTACAGAGTTTGTTCCAGTATCTCGCCACACTCAGAACCCCACACTCCACTCTCTACCCTACACCCAGGTAGTAGCGCAGCACCGAAACAGCCTCCCAGAGGCCAGCGCCAACCATCCAGATGAAGAACAGATCCTGCGATGGAGTCTTCAGTGCCGATGGACAACTCTGACGAAGAAACAGGCAGCTATGGCTGCCGGCACCCACAAACACTCAGTGAAGAGCCTCCACATAGCCTGGCCAGACGCAGATACCCCAGGGGTAGATGCGCTGAGGGTGCCCCAGTTTCGGCAACCTTCAGAAGGGCCAGCTAATGGCCGCCGTCCAAGGCAAGGGTCTCAGGATGCCGCCTGCAGACAATTGCCACCGCCAACTTGCTTGGCTTCTCCAAACGCTGCTTCGTGAGAATGAACAGCCAAAAGTCCTAAACAGTCCTACCCCAATCTACTTGTAGATTCCACACTACCCTAGCCAAGGACCTACCGGTATCGTTTCAGTTAGGGCCTGCTCGGCCTCTACGAAATCGGCCCTACTGCTGCACTTAGGGCTCAAGGCCACTTAGGGCTGGTAACTACTCAGCCTCTACTGCTGTTAATTCAGGCTATTTTTAGAACAGCGGGCGGCCCTCAGTGCGACTAAAAAAAACACAGCAAAACACACAACAAACACAACAGTGCACTGTACAGCCTCGCAGTCAGTCTCGGCAGTCAAAATCAGCAAGTCATTGCAGCTGGACTTGGCTGGTAACTCTCCTCTGAAACATTTGAGCGCACAGAAGTTTTCATCTTGAAGCACGGACTTTTGAAGCACGGACTTGTGTTTGTAACGAGTCTTTTAACATGTACCTCTTTTTTTCACAGTTGGACAATTGGGATCCCTTTTTCTTTTTGTGCTGTGAAATTTGTTTTCGTCTCTGCGGGCAGGATGCTGGTTATGTGTTCAGGCAACATCCAATTCACTTTGGTTTCTGTGGCCAGGATGCAGGTTATGTTCAGACAACGTCAACGGAGGCGTTGAAGTCATTCGTGTTCAACGAGCCAGTGGTTGTCGATGCAGCGCGTTTGCCCACGCTTGGTGCAGCAGGGCTCTTCATTGTGAGTGACTTTACATGTTGTTCTTTAGGTTAGAAATTTAAAAGTAAACTCTTTGGGAACAGTGAGGAGGAACCAAAGTTAGGTCCATATTGCTTTCGTCTTTCGGGGTTGGGAAAAAAAAAAAAAAAAAGACTCTTTGCATCAGGATAAGTCCAGAGCAGGCATGTCTTCATCCTGCTGTTCCCTTCCCTCCCCCCCCCCCCATTCTCTCTCTCTCTGTGCACGCGTGTCCTTGACTGTTGAGTTATGGAACTGAAATGGAAGACACACATGCTGTCTCCCAGTGGAGTTTGGTGAGAAGTTCTACCACGAGTCGTTGATGCTCTTAGGGATTGCAATACTGTGATATCTGATTACTGCTCTGAAGAAAGGGGCCTAAGGGCACCTGTTCTGGACAAGGACCAATGAAAGTTGTGAGCAAATCCTAAGGGCACCTGTTCTGGATAAGGACCAATGAAAGTTGTGAGCAAATCATAAGATATAATTGTATAGCCAAAATTTGAAAAACCAACCATCTTATTTGGAAGTTGATTTTAACATTGATGACTGTCTGGTAGAGACTTCTTTTCGGTTTGCCAATCTGATTTGTGTGCCTTCAACTGCCAGCACACAGCCCCAGCCTTGCACAATTTCTTCATCACCTACTACGAAAATTTCGGAGCCTCGGGGCTACGGGATCACAATTGCAATCAGACTACTCTTCTTCGACACTCAGCATGCATACAAACGGATGACGACCAAGCTGGCGACTTGCGCCCACACAAAGCTCAGAGAAAATGCAGCCAAGAACACAGTTCAGATTCCAACTTGTCTCGAATGACTATGGCGCACGTGTGCCCAACAAGATTCTCCCCCGATCAACCGTATCCCCAGCAACTTATTTGCACACACGTAACTCTGGATCTCCCTGGATGTCCTGCCCACATACACACATCACACATGCACACATCAGACATACACACATCACACATACACACACACACTAACTATGCTAACTCGCAGCTACGGCTGCCGTCTACTTCCTGTAGCTAACACAAGTGGCTATGGCTGTCTTCCTCCTCTTAGCCCGCTTCCTCTTCGGGCACCTGCAGGCCTTCGTACAGAGGACGCTCTGATAGCGCTTCCGCACGGCTCACAGGCAGAATGAATCAATGACTTAACGATGCCTCTTTATTTATACTTCGGATCGGCAAAGGTCTGCCCTTTGACCCTGGGCCCGGGGTGCGCACAGTCCCCATGGTACTTGCTGACGTGACAAAGTGCGACCGGGACTGGGTACCACTGACTAGGCTAGGTAGGACTAGGACTGCCCTTTGCTGACTGTGCTAGGACTGCCCTCGGCGGACTCAGACGCGGACTGACTCTAAGACTTCACGAAAGGCCACTTCCGGAAGTTACGGAAGGTCGCAGACTTGACCTTTCGGCACTGTAGCAGCTACGAACTATGCTACTACTGACCTCTAAAACTGAGACCTACGGTTCAAGACCCAACGACCACGCTATCTACAGCAGGCAAACATACGATTTTCAGAACACAGGTCGCGGGTTCAAGCACACACGGGTCAACTGGTACTGTACATGGGTGAGGGTGAGGGCGAGGTCCAGGGATCAAGCCCTGGGAACTGCATCTGCTACCATAGAGGTGAAAAACCGTTTCGCTCCCGCCGGTCTAAATTCGAGGTCCTCCGAGAATACTTCAACGCAAGGCAGGACCTTTACCTTTCCTTTCTGCAGCGGGCCACTATGCCCTGGCCTACAGCGAGGGCCTATTCGGCTATTTGCCGTGGCCTGACCCCACAGGCCGTGTACTGTTTTCAGTCCAGTCCTGTCCTGCCCGGTACCACTGTTGGTACCAGGCCAGTTCAGTCCAGTCCAGTCCGCTAGGGGTATACCCCAGCTGCAGTCTGTATTTCGATCATTCTTCACTTTGCACATTTTGGAGTACGTCCGTGTTGAGTCTGCGTCGGAGCTGCACTGTCCCTTCCTGCTCCATGTCTACCGCCTCCTTCGTCAACCCTCCATCTCCATCCTGATGGACCACCATCTCGGTGGGTCCGCCACACTGGTATCAGAGCGGGAACGTTCCCGGCTCCCACCCACCACACCGCGAGCAAAAACGGTGTAAACCGGACAACGGGTTTTTCAGGCTGTTTTTCTGCCGTTTTGAGAGGAAAACAGCAGGAAAAAAGTGACGAAAGGTGCAGCAGCAAGGGAGGGACATGTGGCGAGAAAAGAGAGAGGTTCATCACGACGCGTGCGCGCAAGCGCCGAGGCCGCCGCACACGCACGTGGCCCCGCTGCCCCGCCCCGCTCCCGGATTAGTTATGTCAAGATCCGCGATGCACGCTGCTGTCAGGGTTTGAACCTGGGCAGCTGCTGGCCATGCACGTGCGTAGCCAAGGCTGTAACACACTGGCCAAAGTGTCTGTATGGCTCAGTAGTGCAGCACCCTGGTGTTGAAGAAGTGTTGTGCCAGCTATTTACC